GTAAGTTTGAGGTCATCCTGGTCTGCAGAGCAAGTCTAGAACAGCTAGGGCTACATAGAGAAACTATGATCCTGTCTTGAAAAACAAACTAGCAAAGAAAGAAACAATAACAACAAAATGAAAAAAAAAATCAAGAAAATAGAGAGTAGAGGCTGGAGATGTAGCCCAGTAGGCAGACTGCTTGACTGGCATGCATGAAGCCCTGAGTTAAACACCCAGATTCACATAAATCTGAGTATGCTAGTTCAAGCCTATCATCACAGCACCTGGGAGACAAAGGCACTTATTAGAAACTACACCCATAGCAGTGGGGGCATAGTTCACTGGTAAAAGTGCTCACCAAGAATTATGACTTATGATTCCCGTGTAGACAGGAGAATTTGTAGGACAGTAATTTCTCAGTCAAGGCTTACCTTTTCCTTCTTGTTGATAAATAGGCCACGGTATACCTCCTCTCTGAGCAAGTCGTCATGCTCTGATAATCCTAAAACGCATGGAGAAATCATGTTTAGATGACCCTATTGCAATCCACATAGACTGAAGACATTTCATCGTGTCCATACTTTTGATATTGTGACATGACCTTGTCATTTATAAAGTTCATGCTGAAGAAAAATCCAACCAAGTAGGAAAAATAAAGAAATAGAAAAAAAAAAGAAAAAATCATGTATTAAGTAAGTTGATGCTTTTGTGTTGAGTTACATACATAGATGTCCTAGGGTGTTAAGTTGGACATGCCTGTATGATATTAGTCTATGTTCTTATTCTCCATTCTGACTAGGATTCTACATATCACAGAGTAGGCAATCAATTCATTCTTATTTTGCAAGCAAAATCAATAAACACCATAAGATCACTGCTGGTTTTATTACTTTTGGTTTTGTATGTTTGTATGGTTGGTTGGTTGTTTTTTTTTTATGGACAAATAACAATAAGAGCAGAAGGGGAGGAGAAAAATGTTCCTTCAAATAAAAGCAGATACAATCTTTAAAGATCCCATACCTGGAGTGGGGAAGAAATGAATTTCTCTCTAGTATAGTCAAGGGTCACAGCTTTATTCTACAATTATAACTTGATTGAGTGACAGGGGATGAAAATACATTTGTACATTCTACTCCCCAGTCAAATCCCTAGCTCCTACATGACAAATGGTTCTCCTTATGGTGAACCAAAGATATCCATCTTATCTTAATATGAGATTTATTTCAAGTATGATGACACTAAAGTGATTGATTTTTCTATGAAAACTATGTCTGCATTATGCAACTGTCCAATTTGTCCATTAAAAATGATTAATGAAACAAGCTTCCATTCTCTTATTTCTGATAGACTGTTTCCTAAACATGTACATATGTCGTATTCAATAATACAATCTTCTATTTCTATAAAAAGGTTTATAACTTACAAAGCAATTCCATTTACATTATCTGGTTGACATTTCTTAGTTACGAAGATAGCTTATATCACTTATGAAGAACGTATGCTTAACATTTTGCTTTTGCCCAAGCTGTGTGTTAGGAGTACATGTATATACCTAATACACTTTCAGATACTTACTGGAAATTGTATTTTTAAAAATAAAACGTGAGTTTTATTTTGCACATTAAAAACAAGTCAATAACACATGTGTACTGAATAATTGTATTTACACAATCATAGAAAATAATAATAAAAGTATTTCAAGTATATAAAACACAGGAATTATTTTGTGCTTTCTTCATATCATAGAATACTTCTTTCCAAAAAAAAATGTCCAAGCTACTGACTCATACCTACACCTACATATATATAGGAAGAACCAGAACCTGTGAACAACAACAAAAAAAAATGTTTATTATGGTGAGAGATAATTTAAAAGTCCCAAAGACATACAGGTGTACCTTGAATTGGAAGGAAAGTGTCCTAAAGAGGTAAAATCATGGTCTTTGGGAGAACTTAGAAAGGGACAGATTGCTATGAAATACTGGATGGGCTACAGAGTTGATGACTGTCTGTGCCTGGGAGGGGCACACAGATACAGGCTACAAAAGGTGGGGAATGAGAAAAGAGAGAAAAATATAAGAAGTTAAGGGCTGACTGAGGATGAGGATGGAGGCAAAGAACCAGAGCCTGAAGTGGGCAGCTGTGGGGGTGGAGAGTTGGATTCCATAAGTCTGCACAGCCTAGGAATTCACTAGTTTGTTTCTTTGTGGGACGTGAGCTGCTAGAGAGGCAGATCCCGTTTTATTTTTGCCTGTTTTTTTTTTTAAACCATTGTTATTTTAGGTTATGAGTAGTGAAAATAAAGAGGGGACAAAGTGTTCTGAATTCTCTTCCTATGTGTTCTCTTCTCACTGAATTACATTTTCTCCTTAAGCTCTGAATAATATTAAGTAACAAATTACATGATTATATGCATTAATTAACTGAACTTATTCTTAGTACGTTCTACTTTCAGATTCCTTTGGAATCCAAACAAATATCTACATACCAAGCCTAGCTATAGTAGCAAAGCAATTCAGAAAGGAATTCCCATTCATAACCCAAGGGAGGCAAGAAAACTAGATTCAGAGTTTTGAAGGGTTTATTTGTTTGTTTATGATCCTGGGAGTTTAGTATAGGGTATTGCACTAGGCAAGCTTCATACTGTTAGGCTACACTCTCAGCCTTAATTTAAAAATAGAAAACCTTTTTTATTTTTATTTTTATTTTTTTTTTATTGGAAGCAATGGGTTTTCAACCTACGGGTAGCCATCCCCTTGCAGGCTGCATATCAGACACCCTTCATATAGGATACTTATATTACAATTCATAAGAGTAGCAAAACTACAGTTATGGAGTAGCAATGAGGTAACTTTATGGTTGGGGGTCACCAGAACATGAGGAACTGTATTAAAGGGTCACAGCATTAGGAAGGTTGAAGACCCCACTGTTTGGAAGCATTAGCTCACTAGTAGCTCTTGATGCCCCTGAACTCACTTTGTAGCCTGGAACCTCTGGTCTTCCTGCCTCAGCTGCACCACCAAGCCATCCTGGATTCATATTTAAATACTGGAAAAACAACACCATAAAAGCATGCTATGATTCTAAAATGTCTAGTGATGACCTTTGCAAGCTCGGTAATGGATTAAATAAGACAAGAGACTGGAGAAAGAATGGTATAAAAATAAAACATACAAGAGAAGGGAAGGGGAGAGCAGATTAAATTCAAGAACTATATATTTTCTTGTGCTTTTTCTTCTTAGAAAAGAAATAAAAGTGATGAATGAGCAAAAAAAATCTTAATAACAAATAACCAAGAACATGACCTTGCTATGTCTTTATGTTGTTTCTTTTAAATGCTTATCACTCTTTTTTTTTTTTGGCAATGAAACAGAGAAATTTATAGTCTTTGTTAGCTACTCAATTGCTACCATCCATTTTTGCTGATTTTTTTTTTCTTCTCAGAAAACTGGTCATTTCTAGAATTTTCTGCCTTAACTTTTATTTTTAAAATTATAACATTCTTTAAAAACATTTAACATTTATTATTATTATTTTGTGCATATTGTATGTGTACATATGTGTACATGGGAATGTTTGCCAGGGGTGTGGAGGTCAGAGGGCACCTTGAAAGAGCAGCTCCTCTCTGCTATGTAGATGCCACTCTGGTCACCCGACTTGGTGGCAAGCATCTTTACCCACTGAACTTTTTGGCTGCTACATTTGGAACCACTTGATATTTTTTGTTTGTTTGTGGGATCCCCCCCCCCCCCCCCCCCCCCCCCCCCCCCCCCCGAGACAGGGTTTCTCTATGTAACAGTTCTGGCTGTCTTGGAACTCACTCTGTAGACCAGCCTGGTCTCAGACTCTCAGAAACCCACCTGCTTCTGCCTCCCAAGTACTGGGATAAAAGGCACGGGCCACCAACACCAGGCCTAATTTGATCTTTTCAAATGATTTTCCAATTACTTTATATATTGTTGTGCTTAAGTCTTAGGGAAACAATATTCCTCTTTTGTAGTTGCAGAAGTCGATATTCAAATTCTGCCTTTGCAAACAGACTGACTAGTTGGGACGAAGTAAGATGTTATGAACGTTATCCAAGAGGTACCACCTTACTGTGTCTGTCTCCAAGTGTGTATAACGCGAGGAATTGTAGATTGCATCTAGTGGAGTATTGCATTATTAAATTAGGAAAGAAAAGGTCAGTTATACGGGCAGAAAACTTGGACCAAGTTTTCAAATCAAGCACTTACTCCTCCACACAGTTTTTGTCTAAGTAGAGAGTCCCACTTAAAGATACGAAAGAAAGCCAATCTTGGGAGTTGTCCAACCCTTCAATTACAATCCTTCCTCTTTTTAACTTCCCCAAGGAGGGCATGTTAGGGGAAGAAACCAAATCAACATCTGTGGGGCTTGCCATTATTATCCTTAGAATTCTTTGTCAAAAGCTAAATCCTGTCTTCAAAATGTAAATAATGTGAGTTACAAATAGGAAAGAAATTAGTTACAATCGACACCCCCATCCCACCCCCCCCTACTTCGCCACCGCTGGCCCCGGAACTCTCAAACTTTCAGTGTCTTATTGTACTATTTTCTGTTCCCCCTTTGTCTTTTACATTGGGGGGATTTGGCTCTGACCACAATCTCTTTCTCTATCCTCAATCAGGCCAGCACTCCCTTCCCTACAGAAATCCTAACCGAATGAATGAACGGGTTATTCACACAGCCGCTTCTGCCCTAAGCTCATAAAGAGGTCTTGCTCTTTTCTCTGCCTTCTGCCGGCTCCTCTTGGCATCCTTATCTAGAGATTGCATAACAGCCCAGGTCTCTCCAGCCACCTCACACCTGCCTCTTCAGGTTGGGCGCCAAAGCACAGGGCTAGGAGCTAGTCTGGGCGGCCCAGCCTCCACCGATCGCTCCTGGTCAGAGCTAAAATCCGAAGTGGAGTGCCGGGAGCCACAGAGCCGGCGCCGACAAGTGCCAGCCGCGGCGTCCTCGGGAGCATGCTCAGTGCGCCTCCCTTCCCCGCGCCCCCAGCCCGCGCCCTCTTCCCGCGCTCCCGGGCACCCCAACCGCCTCCGCTCCCGCACCTCCCCTCCCCCCATTCAGCCGTTTACAGCGAGGCGAGGCGGCTGCAGGTGGGCGAGGGGCCCGGGAGAGCGGCGGTGCGGCCAGAGCCAGGTAAAGGCGGTGCTCCCCGGGAGGACGGGAGGAGGAGGACGAGGCGGGATGAGGGCGAGTGCGGCTACCCAGGGACCTCAGGCGGGTGCGGAGAAGCCGCAGCCCGGCTGCCAGCCCGTGCTCGCTGTGTGTCGTGAGCCCTTATATAGACAAAAATCCCCAAGCCGAGAGGGCGCGGGCTCGAGCGGGAGCTACCAGGTCCCTGAGGTCCGGGGATCCAGAGGTCGCAGGGTTCACGCCACCAACTCCACAGCTGGTGCCACTCTGGTCCGGGCACGGCAGGACGTCAAGCGGGCCCGCCAGGCGAGTGCTCCCGCGCTGCTCCCCAGCATCTTTCCCGGACCCACAGCATCCCGGGTGGTGTCCTTGCAGTGGGTGTGGATGGGTCGGGAAGTACGTGAAGGAACAGCTGCTCTTTCAGCAGAAGACCTGAGCCTGGGAAGAAGGGAAGGTGTTTTGTTTAGGTCCCCAGGAATCCTAGGTAGAGGCTGCTGGCAAGGTGGATGCAGGAGAGGTTGTGGTATCTTGCAGGAGCCTGAGAAGAGCCTGCACCACCCTGAGGTCCTCTGGGCTTTCTGGGCCACTTCACCACTCTGGGCTTGCCAGTCTTGGCCAGGTAGCACAGGTGGCTGTGAGCCTCGGAGGATGCTGCATCCCTTCTGGCTCACTGTCCCTTTCTACTTCTGCTAGCTGAGAGGACAGCAGATCTCTTTGGGAGGGGCGGCAGTGCTCTAGGCATCTCTCATTCCTGGTTGGACTACTCTTGTTACAGTTGGGGAAGTAGTGCTTAGGCAGGCACACAACACACACACACACACACACACACACACACACACCAATTTCTCTGCAAGTGTTTCTTTAACTTACTTTGGTTGAGAAATAAGAGTGGGCCACCTTGAATGAGGGCTGTCTAGTAGCAATTCAAAGCTAATAGTCCATGTCCTCCTCCCTTGTCAAACCACCAAGAAATGCAGCGAAAGAATAAAAATAGCAGGGAATGACGAGCATGCCCCTTAAAAGCCCTGGCAACAGAAAATCGTGGGCACACATGCCCTTTGCTTGCACTCCAGACTTCAAGGCTGAACCCAGTCAGCACAGACGGAGGAAGCCTTTCAAGGCCTGATTAGGTTCCAACGACTGCATACTCTGTCACTGCAACCTTAAAGGTGTGCATTTAAGAGGGTGGCAGGAAAATCAGAGTTGGGTGTAGGCCCCAGTGCGAAGACGAGAGTTGAACAGGGTAAGTCACTTGAGGACAAAGAGACAATCCTAACTCCATGTTCTGCTCCCAAGTGCTGCACGTTGAAGTCCATCTAGCTGAGAGGATAACTGATGATCCCAGGGACAGGGAAGGACATGGTGACACAGGGAAGCTAAGGTGTGGTGTGCTGCTACAACTCACAGATGCTCACATGAACACTTCGTAGCTACAGATTGCTCTTTCCTTCTGAGTTGTTTGTTTACTAACAATCTGAATTTTTGTAGGGTGTAGCAGAGGATTAAACTTAGGGCTCTATCATTGAGCAATGATTTAAAAAAATCTCTACTTTTATTTTGAAGCAGACCCTTGCTAAATTAGCCAGGCTGGCCTTGGATTCTCTGTGCAGCCTAGGAAGACTTCACACTGGCCCTGCTCCCCAGGGACAGGGATTGCAGGCATGCACCGCCCTTCTCTGACGTGACCTGCAGAGTCACCAACAGTTTCTTATATACAAATTAGGGCACACTCCTATCAATTCCATGTTCCTAGGCATACATGTTTATTTGATAGCATCTGTCCTGTGTTTCAGACTTTCATCCTTCCTACCTGTATGGAAGGTAGAATGACTTCAAACTTGCTCTTTATCCAGAATTTTATTTTTGGGCTCACGAAAGGGTTGTCTCTAGATGTTTCTTTTGATTCTGTGCTCATTCACCAAACACTTAGGAGACATTTGTATGACAAAGGGAAGCTAAATATAAAGTCAGTAAGAGCCAGATACCAAGATTGTTTCCTCAGTGGCAGGGATTTTTTTTTCCCCCAGAAGATTATTTTGTTCAGAGAGACTACCATTGTACATATTTTTATCCTTCACAAGTCTGCACAAAACTTCCCAAAGGGAAAGGCATCAAAGTGAGAATCACTAAAAGTGAAAGTAAGAGGGTGCTGGAGAATTGTGATCTGCAAAGTCCAGATGCTGGAACTCTGTCAAGCAGCAGTGGACGCCATGCAGTCCATGCCACGGTATAAAATCCTTAGTGTCTTTAGAATGCTGTCTTCAAGCATGTCGCTATTCTTCTTTTAGCATGTAAGAACCCTATAGAGTAGATTGGTCTATACGTATATTTACAGACATGTTTACGCACAGTTATAGGGCTTACTCTATCAGAAAAGTCCGTTCTGTGTTGCTCTAACAAAATATGTGATGCTGTGTTACCTATTTGTAAAAAGAGATTAATTAGTCTCATGGTATAGATGGCTGGAAAACCCAAATGCCATGGTACTGGCATCTTCTCGGTGTTCCCTGGAAAATGATAACACAGCAATATAGCACATGCCAAAGTGGCCAAACATGTTGGATGGTCTAAAGTTTTATCAAAGTGCTTTCCTGGTAACTCACAGAGTCCCACTTGGCCTAACTGATCTCATGAGATGTGTCACTCCTGGATGAGTGACACCCAGAAAATCTCAACTGCTTTTTCAGGGCTTCGTCCCCTCTCAGCTTGATAACATTTTGTAAGTGTTTCAGGCTCTACATGTGTGCTGTTGGGGACAAACCAGATTCAAGTTATAGCAGGTCCTCGGTGACAGAACTGGGACACACAGACCACAGGATCATAAGATCTCTGTGATACAAGTTCTGCCCTGTATGACATTAATCAAGAGCAAATACTTTTTTTTGCCTGTGGTGCCCTTTGGTGCCTGGCACGTGGTACTATTGAAGGACAGATTACAGGAAGACTAGCGTCAAGAGCAACCGACATGGATATTGAGGGAGAGGAGGAGAAGGAAAGAAGCAAAGGTCACACTAACCTCCGATGTCTCCAGCTCTAACTCGGGCAGGAAGTACCACAGGGATTCTGCCCTCAAAGGCAGGATGGCTGAAATCCTTCGGAGGTACTCTTTGCGTTTAATTGAGCCATCTAGTTTGTGAGACTTATATGTGTGGATTAGAAAACTGTTTTCTCTTGCATAGGGAATTAGCAAAAGGAGCACATATCCCATGATAGCAGAGTGAAGCCCACTCCTTTAGGGGCTGGGTTTAAATGACTTTTAAGAGGGAGCAATTGGCTTTACTTCATGCCATGTGAGAACTGAACTTCTATGATATTTTTAACATCCAAGAGGACAATAATGATGTGAAATGTCATAAAAGATGCACAGTAAACACAATGCCTGGTGACAATTGCAAAAGATGTCCTTCACCGCCTTTGTCTCCCTTCCTAGCCCAGCCTCCAACCTATTTCAGGGGTCAAGGCCCCTCCCGTTCCCATGACTTGGTGCCATCTGTCTTCATCAGGCCTCTCTTGACATTGACCTGGGAGTCTCTTCCACCAGACATTCCCTTTTACCTTAAATTCTACTTATTTGGGAAGCATTCTGTTTGTTCTCCTGACTTCTTGGTCTTGAGAACGGAGATCATATCTGACTGATCTGGGAAGCCATATGGATGGGACAGAGCAGAGGTCAAAGCAGGTGCTCTGAGGGCTAGCCTGTCTATATTATGATTTATTGGTTCTTTAACCAGTTAGGGCTAGTTTTCGAACATCGTCAAATCTCCATTCCTTCTTTGTAAAATAGAAGAAAGAACACATTACATGTAGTTTAGAAAGACCAAATGCAATAGTAGTTAGAACTAACACATGTATAGAAATAATTTAAGGTGTGCTAGCTAGGCAATATTAATACTGGCTTTGGCTTTACAGGTCATTTCCAAATTCACTGGCTTCTTTATCTTAACTGATTGGAAACCCCAGCGAGGTGCCTTATTGGTGGTACATAATTAAACACTGAACACACTGATTATTATTATTATTATTTTGTATCCTGCTTTGTGGCAGGCTTTCTGAGCAGGGTCAGCCAGGTATGCATGTCCACTATTCTAGCATTGGGGAGGTAGAGACAGGGTAATCGAAAGCTGCATGGCCAGTCTCAAGTTCATAGCTGTTCAGAGGCCATCCTGGGCTACACAAGATACTTGTATAATGATTAAAAATAAAAGAAACAGCAGAAGAAGAACATTTGGATCAATGTGTCAGGAAAAGCGTTGGGGAATGACTGTATAGTGGTGCTCAATGAGTAGTAGAACATTTAAAATAATTTCAGAGAGAGCTTTGTTTTCCTACTTGGTCACTTAAGTGTTGGGCTCCAAAGGCCAGTCTGCCTGTTTGAAGATTCGGTGTTTTACACCCGCCATACGACAGAGCAGCCTGACAGACAATTTGTAGATGAGTAAATATTAACAGCCCCTTCCATCTGTGATAACCAGTAAAGACATGGGACTGCTGTGGACATGAACTGAAAAAATAAAAATATTAGATTAGAATGCAAACATCCCAGGGTTTCCCCCTAGCACTATAAAAGATGGAAAAAATTAATTACAAATTAAACACTGAGCTTAACAATAATAAAAATAGTCCAGGTAAGGCTGGAGTAATTTATATTTGGGTTCGCCAGAGACCTTTCCAATATATTCATATGTATCAGTACTGATAAACGATGCACATATTTTGTAAATAATTTTCCTGACCTAATAATAAAACCATTGCCAGCGTCTTCATTAATATTCATGGAAATCCCAAAGGAGTTTCTGAAAAACCCCACAAGTTTCCTGAGTGGCAGCTACACTGTGCTGAGGGAGTTTTTATTTTTCTTCTTCTTTTCTTTAGTTTTCTTTTCTGTTAAAGGTGTTGTGCAGTTTATGGGTATTTCCATGTCAGTGTTCATGTGGTTTAATTACAGAAAGCAGTTATTCATATTTGGCAACAGCTGTCATAAATACAATAACTTTCAATCAAAA